CTGGCAGGATCCGCCAGGGGCACTTTCTTCGTCCTCACCCTCCTCCTCCTCCTCCTGCTGGTGTTGCTTCTCCTCCTGCAACGTCCCATATGGATAACTATTCACCGGAAGACCAGAAGCATCTGTGGGGCGGACCGAGCATTTCGTCTTACGCTCCTCGACCATAACGGCTTGAGATCCTGGACACTAACATGTCCAACAATCACGCGGCTGGCCGTTGGCAAGATGTGGCTCTCGCAACGACGGGGGCATCGGGGGGTCGAGGATGGAGCTTGGGACACATGATCTTGGCTTCCTCGGGCACCTCCTTCGTCACGGCCCCAATCCTTCTGAACAGATGCCCAGAAAACGCCCCAGGATGGGTCCCACGGTCGCGGTTTGACAACCTCCTCCTTCCCCCTCCTCCTGCCGTCCGCCTCCTCCTCCTCCTCTTCCTCCTCCTCTCCCTCCTCCTCCTCCTCCTCCTCCTCCTAATATCTGGTCAGATCCACCTTGTCCTCCAGCTCCTGCTGTTTTTCCTTCTCCTCCTTTTCCTTCTCCTCCTCCTCCTCCTCCTTCTCCTCCTCCTCCTCTTCCTCCTCCTCCTCCCCTTTTGTGCAGCACAACGATGATCATGGGGATTGGGGCACTCCTTTATCGAACGAGACCTTTGAAGATGCCACAAGGTGTCGTGCCGCAGTGACGCAAACAAAACCTGGTGCCCAAATGACCAATTGACCTGGTGGCTCAGGTCAGCTCACTTCCGTGCAAATCCCACCAGCCCTCTGGGCGTAGGTGGTCTAGAGCAGATCCTCTTCCACCCCTCCCTCTTCCCCCTTGGGGAGGGGTTTACCCCTCCCCCTACCCCCTCCCCTGGACCTGGACGGAGGGTTCCGCGAGCGGTCGGACGGCTCTTTTGGCCCCAAGATAGGAAGCCAAAATCATCGGTTTTACTAAGGTTTTGGCCGACTTTGGAGGCTCCCGAGGGGGGAGGCAAATTGGAGCTCCCCTCTTATTTGATCGATCACCTGCAAGATGGCCCCAAGAGCGCTCCCAAGGCTCCCAAGAGCGCCCCAAGAGGGCCTCAAGAGGCGACCAGGAGGCCCCAAGAGGCCTCCAGGAGTCCGCCAATACCCCCAAGAGGCCCCCAAGAGGCCCCAAGAGGCTCCCACGAGGCACCCAAGACGGTCCAAGAAGCTCCCGGGACCGCGAAGAGGCCCCCAAGACGCCCCAAGAGACCTCAAAGAGTATCCCAAGAGACATCCCAAGAGATTCCGCGAGGCAATCAAGAGGCCTTTGACTCTTCTGATCGCCCTTATCCTCCTCCTCCTCCCCCACATCATCACCATCATCATCATCATCATCATCATCATCATCATCATCATCATCATCATCATCACCCTCACCCTCACCATCACCATCACCATCGTCAAGACCACCACCATCATCGTCATCATCAGCATCTTAAATATCAACATCAACATCAACATCATCATCCGCCTATTCCTCCTCCTCCTCATTCCTCCCTCCACACCCTCATCCTCCTCCTCCTCTTCCGCCTCCGACACGTCCTCCATCCGCCCCCCCCCTTGGGGTACGACGGCCTCCCCAGCCCCTTGTTCCTCTGTATGCTGCCCCGCTTCCATGATCACCTCTACTCGCCTGAGCGTCGTTTCTGGATGGGCTGGTGGGGATACGCGAAGCGTCAAGAATTCGAATGAACTTGAAGACCACAGGTGGGATCTGGAAATGCTTGGACAACATGTAAGCAATGACGACATGGCAGTGACGGCAGGCGCATACCAAGAAACCATCAACAAGGCCGCGCACTTGTGTATGTTATTGGCGCGTGGCTGCAATGCTCATCGGGATTAAAACCTGGCGTTGGTTTGGGCTGACTTTGTGACGGCGGCGTCGCAAAAATCACACGCATGCACGAGAAAACTTGCTCGCGAAAACCATTTATTCGCTGTGGCGTGCAAAGGACGAGGCACGCAAAAAAAGGCGGCCACGGAGGCAGAGGAACAGCATGGGACTAAAAACGATTGGGACTATGGCGCAAGACGGCCCAACATGGCCCCAAGACTGCTCTACATGGCATCAAGACGAGCCGTTCCCAACCCAAACGTTGACCGGGCCCCTCCGTCCACCATCCGCGGATGCGACTCGCGACGTGACTGCCCCCCCCCCCCCTTGGCAACGCCCGTGCCGGGGGGATCAACACATTGCCCCCAACCGGCCCACAAAAAGCCCCAATACGCCCTTAAAACGTCCCCAAGAAACGTCCAACCCACTCCGACGGTAGGCCCCGCATGGGAATCCATTTTTATGTTCCTTTGCTCGTTTCTCTTCGCCCTGGCGAAAAAAAAACCGTCTCGCCTTCTGTTGCGCCCCCTCTTCGACCTCCTTGTCGTCGTCCTCCGTCTCCTCCTCCTGCTGGGTCTCCTGGTCCAATGTATCCTTTTCCTCGTCGTCGTTCTCCTCCTCCTCCTCCTCCTCTTCCTCGTCCTCCTCCTCCTCCTCCTTCTCCTCGTCCTCCTCCACCCCATCCCCGTCTCCCCCCCCGTTTCATCTCCATCCCGCCGGCTCTCCTCGTGCAGTGTTTTTTTTCTTGGCAGGGGGGCGCATGCCGATTTTCTTCGGCACCCTCGCCGCCGCGCCCTGCAGGGGCGCGTTTTCCGATGGCAGAATCGCAAAGCCACCGGGGCAAAGGCCGTTAGGGCAACCCCGCGAGCTGCTGGGGCGCGAAACTAATCCGTTGGGACATCCCCGCAGGCACCGAGTTAGCCGCGGCCGCGCTCAGGCGAAAGGCAGCGCGAAACTCAGCCCCGCCGCGAGCGGCTCCGCCTCAGCCCTGGGGCCCACCGCTGTCTTGTCGAACTCCTGGGCGCCTTCCGCAGGGGCGCCAGCGGCCCGCGTTCCAGGAACTCTTGCGCGAGCGGCAGCAGGATCCCCATGTTCCGCACGTGCGCGAAGCGGGACAGCATGACATACTCAGAGGTGCAGCCACCACTGCTCGTCCGACATGCCCGTGCGAACATCGTCCTCATCCCTGGCGCAGTCAATGACGCGCCCTGCCGCGGCATCTGACCCTGCAACATGTCCGGAGATAAGACGCGCGGGCGCAAGTCAACCAGGGTAACAGCAAGGCGCCCAAGACACTGAACTCGAATTTGGAAACCACGGGCGGACGGGACAGTGCCCAACCAACGTGCGGGATAATGAGGCTCACAGGTGCAGCCACCACTGCTCGTCCGACACGCCCGTGCGAACATCGTCCTCATCCCTGGCGCAGTCAATGACGCGCCCTGCCGCGGCATCTGACCCTGCAACATGTCTGGAAGTCAGATAGGACGCGCGGGCGCAAGTCAACAAGGGTAACAGCAAGGCGCCCAAGACACTGAACTCGAATTCGGAAGCAACGGACGGACGGAACAGTGCCCGACCAACGTGCGGGATAATGAGGTTCAGAGGTGCAGCCACCACTGTTCGTCCGACATGCCTGTGCGAACATCGTCCTCATCCCTGGCGCAGTCAATGACGCGCCCTTCCGCGGCATCTGACCCTGCAACATGTCTGGAGGTCAGATAGGACGCGCGGGCGCAAGTCAACAAGGGTAACAGCAAGGAGCCCAAGACACTGAACTCGAATTCGGAAACAACGGACGGACGGAACAGTGCCCGACCAACGTGCGGGATAATGAGGCCGGCGGAGTATAGGACGGCTACATTACAGAAGGCATGCACCCATCTACACCAGAGCAATTGCCAATCAGTGGGTGTCTGAACTTTTCCAAGGACCCTCGGTCGACTTTCCTCTCGCCCCACTCTAGATCGAATACGATTCGTAGTCCAGTCTAGTTCGTCTGTGTTCCTCATAATTCCACCAGCCCTCTGGGCGTAGGTGGTTCAGGGAATTTCCTCTTCCATCTTCCCTTCTTCCCCTTCGGGGAAGGGTTTACCCCTCCTCCTAACCCCCTCCCCTGGACCTGGACGGGGGGTTTCGCTGGTAGTTGGGGGCGTCCAAGATGGCCCAAGATGGCTCCAAGAGGGCCTCGGAGAGCCCAAGGTGACCTCCAAGATGGGTCAAGACAGCCCAAGACGCCTCAACATGGCCCCGAGGATGCTCCAAAAGGCCCCAAGACCGCCCCAAGACGACTCCAATTGGCCACGTAGCCTCCCAAGGAGGCCCCCCCAAAAGGCCAAAATGGCTCCAAAACCTAAAGAAATCAATGTTTTTGGATTTCTCGCCTTTTCGCTCCCGATGGCCATTCGAGGCCTCAAGATGGTTCCAAGAGGGCCCAAGAGGGCCCCAAGAGGGGCCCAAAATGGCCCCAAGACGGCCCTAAGAGCGCCCAGGAGCGCTCCAAGAAGGGTCCAAGAGGCGATTCTAAAGCTCCCGAGGGGGGCGCTACTTGGGGGACCCCCTTCCTTTGATCGATCACCTCCAAGATGGCCCCACAAGCGCTCCCAAGGCTCCCGAGAGCGCCCCAAGAGGGCCTCAAAATGCGCCCAGGAGGCCCCAAGAGGTCCCCAAGAGGCCTTCAAGAGGAATCTTAAACCCCCAAGAGGCCTCAAGATGATCCCCGAGGCACCCAAGAATCCCCCAGGCGCTCCAAGAGGACCCTAAAACAACTTCCAAAGGACATCCTAGGAGGCTTTTGTGCACGTCGTTGTTCTTGTTCCTTCTCATCTTTCTCCTCCTCCTCCTCCTCCTCCTCCTCCTCCTCCTCCTCCTCCTCCTCCTCCTTGTCGGCCTACTCCTCCTCCTTCTCCTCCATTTTATCAGCCTCGTCCTCCTCCTCCTCCTCCTCCTCCTCCTCCTCCTCCTCCTCCTCCTCCTCCTCCTCCTCCTCCTCCTCCTCCTCCTCCTCCTCATCATCCTCCTCCACCCTCCTCCCTCCCCCTCCCTCCCCCTTTCCCCTCCTCTCCTCCTCCTCTCCTCCTCCTCCTCCGCGGCCCTCAAAGACGGGTCCCCCAGCCCTTTGCTACTCTGTATGCTCCCTCACTTCCATGATCACC